AGATGATAAACAAGGACATTTAATTGACATTGGATTTGTAATCAGATTTTAGCCAAAATTTTACACTGTTACAACGTGACTCTTTGAAGCTAAATTTATTGTTTCTTAATGAATTAAGATATTGTTGTGATGCTTAATAAAAAAATTTGTATTAATTCTATAATAAAATTAAATAATAATTAATTGATTAAACCTACAGGATCTCAATGAGTAATCTTATTATTTTAAAATTATAGTATTGTCTCGTAAATATTTTACTAATGTACTACCATTTGCATATTCAAGAATGAACGAATTATTTTTTCCTCTAAAGAATTTAAATGAAAATTATGAAACTACAATACTTAAATTAATTAAATGTTTAATTATTATTTTACCTTCAAACCACAAGTCTAATTATATTCGTATGATATCAACTAATTTCATTAAATGTATAAAATATCAATTTATCTACAATATAAGTATTTACAAAAAACCTACACAAATAATAAAACTATAAACTTCATTTAAAATGAATTCTACAAACTTGGAGAATTTTAAATTGCAAATTTTATTTGCCGAAAAAATTTAATTTTTTTTGCTTAAATTTAAAAATATTATTATTTGACAATAACGTTTAGTTAACCCACAAATTTTATAGGGTTTTTTATATGCAAGGCGTAAAATGCAACAAATTTTTATATGAATTTCGATATAAGAAATACTAATAGTTTAATTAATAAAATAAAGTCATTTTTTGTTGATATTTTTTTATTTTGAAAGTCCAAAATTGAATCTGCTCAATTTGAAAATGTTTTTTAAGTTAAAAAATTAATTTACTTTCACTAAAAGGAATATATTTTTAAAAAAAATTTGATGTCGTAAATTCTTTTAGTTTTGTCTTTATAACTAGAAATTGTGGATAGAGAAGATTTCATCCCCACGCAACTTATTAACCTACCCCATTCATTGCAGTGCAATTTATAAGAATTATATACTAATAAAATGAAAAGAACAAATAATTACTTGAAATACATATATAAATTGTTTGTCTTTATATAAAAAGAATAGTTTACTAAATTATAATCTATAAACATAACTAAGAAAATAAATATATTATAAAAATATAAGAAAATAAAAAATTAAAAATTATAGAAAATTAAGAAAGTTTCAGATCTTAGTGATTTATTATGGTTACAAATCATAAACTATAATTAACATTATGTTGCATATTTAAATCAATTCTTTTCTTTTTAATTTCAAAGTAGGGATTGGAATCGAAACTGCAAAAATCACCAAGATCGAAAATTGAAACTAAAATCAATTAAAATTTTCAAACTCAGTTAAAATTGTTTAATTGTAACGATTTTAAATTGATTTTATTTAATCCGATTAATCGGCAAAAATTGATTACACAAATAAATAAAAATAGATAAAAGTAGTAGATCTTGTTCTAATCAAATAAAATATTCTTCGGGTATTAGCAAACATGTAGTGTATTGTTGACACTGTATGTATTGTATGGTAGTATATAGTAATCATACATGTATGGTATGTGTGAAATGCCTACAACTAATGAATGAAAAGTTATAAAAATTAAAATATTTAGACTTTATTTATTTATTTATTTATTTAAGTATTCAAAAGACCAATTTATTGAAGAACTATGTGTTGAATATCAAATTTCTACAGCATCTTCTAATATAGAACAATCTTCAACATCTACAACTTTAGGTTCTTCTGTTATGAGCATTTTATTTGTAAAAAAGAATAATACAGTTCAAACAATTGAGAAGGATGAATTTACAAAATACCTTAATGAAGAAACTTTGCCTGCACTTGAACAATATAATCCTTTTGAATGGTGGAAAGTTAATAAAATTCATTATCTATGATTAGCAAAACTTACACAAAAATATCTTTCCATATCAGCAACTTCGATACTATCAGATGTTTCTGAAATAAAATAAGAAATTTATAAATATATTGCATTAATATTTTAATTCGTTTTGTTAAATACTTAGTTTTTTTTCATTTTAATCAATAAAAATTATGATATTAACTTGCTTAAAAGTAAAGTTTCTTTTGCATTACTAAATTTAATAAAATAATTTAAAAAAAATCTGCCGATTTGCCGATTATCTGATTTTCAAAACTGAAACTGTTAATCGTTTTCAATAACCGATTAATCGTTTGAAAAATCGATTTTTATCCTTTCGATTTTCGATTTCGGTTTTTAGAATCGATTTCGATCCCTAGCAACGCGACCTCTCCAGGAACCTTTCGTAGTTATATCCAAAATAATTGACCTTACAATTATCGAAATAACTCTGCATCCAGTATGGAATTTCACGAATTTTGGCTTGATATAAGTTCAGAACCTGCTGAATCCAGTCGTTCAATCCACATCAAAATTGAACCATTGGGTGATGAGATATTCGCGTTCAAAGTTCGTTACGGCAAGTCGGACTTTTATAGCTGATTTATAACAATTCTGGCAATCAACAATCATCTAATAGTGCGGAGGGGATACAAATAGTATTGGGTAATATTATGAGGAAATGTTTCTAGATTATGCACGGCGCCTTCGGTTAAATATATTTGAAAATTAATAAAGTATTCTTCAGGAATAAGCAGGAGGAAGGGATTTAACCTTTATCTATAAGCAAAAATAGTATCATCATGTAAAATTATGCGCAACAGTAGTTGTATTAAAAATCACGTAACTAAAATTTCGAAATTGATGCAAATGAATTTTATTAAACTAATTTTATTTATTCAATAACGATAAGTAGTTCACACAGCATTTACATAAGCTAAAAAAATATATAAGCCCGATGTGGGCATGAAGACATTATCTTATTTGTTGATTGAAAAAGAAGTTTTATTATGTTTATTCCTACTTCGATCCTTTTTGCACTACATTCTAACCTCACTTTTGCTAGATCGTAAACTAATTAAGATCAATTTTCTTGATTCGCAGTAAATAAAAAAAAATAGATGTTGAAATTAAGCCTTTTTTTGCTACCGATTATATAATATTACGCAAATCTAAAGTCAATCCATTAAGAATTCGAGAACTAAAAGAACGCGGATTATTTCGAGTACTCCAGTCAATATTATTTCCATTAATTCGATAACACGTCAAAATTTGATCGATAGGATCAATTAAGATACCTTCCTATATAAAAATAACCATAATAATTAATAGCAATATCAGAATAAACATAAACGACAAATAAAAAATCATTAGTCACTTCAACATCTGCATTCATATAATCTAACATTTTTCGGTGAAAATATTCCTCAGAATCGTTATCTGAACGTATCTCCGCAACAAAATTTGGGGCAACTGAGGGAAACGCTTCATTTTGATCATTAAACGATAATGCATTTCATCTACAATAAAAAAAAGTTAAAAAAATGTACATGTAAACCACTTATATAATTTATACATATAATGAGAAACCTTGTTGCGAGAACAACGGAAGCATCTGGACCCCTAACAGTAGGATTTGGTAGAGGCAAGTTATAACATGTCTACGGTTAAACATATTTTAAAAGAACATTATATTAGAGCGGGTGTGAAGAAAAAGTTTTCATGATAATTCACAAAATATACCTGGCTACTTCCGACTAGTCCAACAAGTCTAGGATTGTTCCGACACCATGCGGTAACACGACCTATTATATCATAATTCAGCATGGAAAAGAAACGTTTGTTGACATTCCAACAAAAATAGCATACCAGTTTGAGCGCCAACGGGCATTATTACAATTTTGTCGTCAGCTAGGTCGAGTTGATAAGAGGAAGGGAGTATTGTCGCGAGTTCTTCGAAGTCTTTAATAGTAACAGGGACACCATCAACACGCGTTATTTCAAGTTTATCCCTGTCCAGTTCGTAATGAAAAGGGATTATTTTCTTGAGTTCTTCAGAAATGAGTTTTTCAGACATTTTGAATATAACGTAGAAAGTATGTAAGTAATTTAAATTTGATCATTTGGGAGCTTTGCTATTAAAAATGGGTTCCGGGGACCTTTCAACAAAAAATGAGATTTTTGATTCATATTACAGTCGGGGAACATACCAAATATATTATGGCGATCATTTCCAAATATAGTAGATTTATTGCCGATCAAAATATTCTAGATTACTCTAAATTAAAAAAAAAAGATTGGTTAAAATTTTAAATATTTAATATTTACAGTTAGATCTATTTAATTCCATTTTTTTTTATTATGTTGATCGGAGCGCTAATATTTCTAAAAATGCATCTCAGTTATGTCATGATATTGCCATGGTATTGTCGCGGTATTTTTATATGAATCTATTAGTAAAAACGCGGTATTGTCGCAGTATTGTCATGGTATTGATTATTGCATGATGAAACCAACTCAATAAAACTTATTTTATTATAAGAAAAATATTTAAATAATACATCGGAAATAAACATTGGAGAAACTGCTGTTGGAAAAATTGCTGTTAGAGAAATTAATAAAAAATAAAAAATAATTATTAGATGCATTATTATAGTATAGTATTAGTCAAATGTATTATTAGTTGCACTGAATATATGCTTTATATCTTGTAGTATATTGAACAATTTGCCTCGCTTTTTTGATTTCAATCCAGAATACTTTTTTGAGCATTTTCAGAAAGTTGTTCAAGGAGAGTTTCAATTTTTAATAAGATTTCAGCCTTGGTCATGTTTTCTTCATTTTGTTATGCATCTGCTTCCTGTTTAGTAATCGGTATTGGCTTAAAAAAAGGAGATGGATTTTGTTAATAAACACTTCAATAATAAAATTTTGTCAAGCCTGTTTTGCTAAATATGTAAAGTTTTTTAATTGTTTACTCAATTCATAATGTTCTCCTAGACTTTGACAAACAGTTCTTGCATTCATTGGATTGGTAAATTCAATGCTTCTCAAATGAATTCAGAATCTTTGGCATTCCATAGTTGACTCCGGTCAAAACCTTGGTCCTGATGTTTAAAGATCATTAAAACCAATTAAGTTAAATAAATTGTTTTTAAGCTCAAAAATCTTCTTGCAATTGTGTGTAGCAACTTTCCAATGATGGTGTTGCAGAACAGGAGGTATTAAAGCTTTTAAAGTCTTGTTTATCTTCTCAATAATTGCATCTAATCCCTAATATTATTCATAAATGCCTGATCTAGATAAAATACAATTTTTTTCTATGATTTCACGTACTTTCAGATGAAGCTGCATTAATTGTATTTCATTAGCAATCTCTATTAAGCAATATATTTGGTGTTGTCTTGCAGACCAAATTGGAGAAAATGATCTTCTGACAGCATTCTTTAAGGATGAATTATTAGTTCTTATGGCTTTCTGATAATTGATGATTGCCTGAAGATAAACAAATATTTGCTCGTATTTTATCTGATAAACTGGATCTTGTTGTTCTTTAGTCTAGGCAAGATATCTTTCAATTAAAGGGTCAGAATGACTTTTACATATAGTTACATAAGCTCTATTACTATTGCTTAACGATATATATTACAAATAGAATCCTAAGACTTATGATTAAGGTTGCTTATCTAAACTCATTTTGGATTTAGCAAAACGGTTAAACCTTTAGTTTCGCTAAATTTTTACTAAGTATTTGATATAGTTTCGCCATTTTTATAAGCTTTAATATAGTTTTACCTTTTTCCAAATTTCGCAGATTTTTTAATAAGGTTTTAATATAATTTAACCAAATTTTACTTTTACCATTTAAACGTCTGTCTAAACTCTTGATTTCGTCTAGCAACCTTACTTATGATAGTCTATGCACTTTTTGAAATAAGCAAGTTGATTTTCTGTCTGATAACCTTGATACATTGCAAATTGCTTTAAATCTATTTCTCTAATTATTAATATAAAAAATAAAATTTATTAATAAAAAATTATACTATTTATTTTAATAAGAATCAATTTACCAGTTTAACTCTATATATGCTTGAAGCATATTTATCTCTTCATGTAATTGCCTTGGTATAAGAACCAATCAAGGGAAATTTTCTTTCAGCTTGATAGCATGATAATATAGGATATCATCACAGGTTACTGATACCTATTTACGATTTCTGTCCTTAATACTCAATATCATTTCTATATGATAAAGAACCTTTTCAACATTTGAAATTGAGTTAAGATTAATATTAAGTAGATCTAGAATATAAATCTCAAAAACATTGACCTGTTGATCAATAATTAACCATTGAATAAGGCTTATCTTAGAAATAGAATTATCCTTCGATTTATTATTAATGCTATAGGATTTAAAGGTAAGCGATTTTGTTAAACGATCAATTATGTTATTTTTAGCTGTCTTTTCACTTTAGATGTTGGCTAATATTGACAATAATTCTTTGCTTTTCAGACATGTTTGCTTTCGATTCTCGATATTTTTTTGATTGCATTTAAGACACTCTTTCATACAGGTAATATTAGTCGATGTTGCTATAAGAGTATCGATAATATTAACTAAAACTAATTTTTCTTCTTATAGCAATTTAAGAATCTCGAAAAAGTAAATATATAATTCATTGTCAATAATTTTTTGCGTTTGAGAGTTAACATCAAAAAGTTCCTCATATTGTAATCTGTTTAAAGAAGAATGTATCCAAGGTAAGTCAGTATATTGAATTTTGTTTTGTGATAACATATTAAAATTAAAGCAACAAAACTGGTAACGATATGAAAATTCACTGTATTAAACCCTCGATCAAGATAATTCTTTTGTCCTCTTTGCTCATTATCAAATGCAAGAATAAAAGGTCTTTGAACAATTGTTCTTCATGCTCAGATAATTCTTCTAGCCACTTTTGGAATCAATAGTAGCTTCCAGAATTAGTGATATAATTGTTAATGCTAATAATCTTCTTTAATCGTGCAATAGAATACTTAATGAAAGAAGCGGCAAGATGGATTTCTGATACATATTTCCTATATCATGCTTCATATATTGCATCAACTGTAATAGCAGTTTTAAAAAACTTTTCCTGAAACAAAGTATCAGTTTCTCGATTATTTTAAATCAGAATTTCGATAAACTTAACAATAATCTGATTACGTTTACTAAGCCATTCGTAAGGAGAGTATGCCATAAGACTTTCTACTGCAAACCTATTGCTATCTCTAATTAATAATTCTACGCTATCGAACAATGCCTCACATTTTGCCTTCGCTATCTCAATAATTGTATCAACATGCTTTTGTTAGTTATTGAATCACAAATCCTATTGTTTGCCAAGATCATCATTTTTTTTACATTGTTTCTTATATAAATTTTGAGTCCTAATTCTATAATCATGAACCCTCTGTAGTTTTTGTTTTAACTCCTTTATTTTATTTTTTTGATCTTCTAAATACTATTACATTTATACGATTTGATTGTTAAGCTCAGTTATTAATTGTGATTTCTCCTGAACCTTCAGGCGACTAGCTTTTAGAAGACTTTTAGTCTTTTCAAACTCAGCCATAATGTTAGAATTAATGCTATCATCTTCATCAGTATCTAATCGAAGTCGCTTATTTTCCTGATTAGAATCTGTAAGATAATGGTAAAATTGATTAGTGCAGTGATATGCACTAAGAAGATTGGAAGCACCTTTGGAAGTACCTTTGAAAGGTTTGGAAGTATAATTTATTAATAAAATTATTTGGATTGGAAGCTTCCAATCAAATTTTTTATCATTGGAAACATAAAATGCATATCATTGGATTAGTGATAATGATTTGATTAAAATGTCTTTTACAAATTGAATATGACTTTAAAGAAGAATAAAGATTAGCAAGTTTAGAAAGATAATTATAGTATTGTACAAGCTGCTTAGCTGTTTTCTGGATATTAGCATATCACCAGGCTTGTGATTCTTTTATTTTATAAGCTTTTAATCTAATTCTACTATAATTATCAACTAAATCTGAGTAAATACATAAAAGGTTTTTTGCTTTTAGCCTTGGATAAGCAGATACTACAAAAAAAAATTATTTAAAATGTTAGATTAGTTAATAATAAAATATGCTATACATTTTTATCTTAATTAACAAAATGCATGCAAATTTCTTATTTTTGAGGTCTCATTGATCCCAATTGATTATTACTAATTATGAAAACTAGAAGTTTTTTACTATCGATCTATATGCTATCTAAGCCACAATGAAAATTCAAAAAAAAAAAAAAATGATTATCGATCATATGAATGTACCAGCCAATCAAATTTCAAGGATTTTTTGTAGATCATTCTAGAACTTGTTTCCTTATTTGGTATATTCCCTGACTGTATTATAGCATACTAAATGAACTTTATTTGGTTAAATTTTTAGAGTCTATTAGTTTATTAATAAAGCAAGCAATTTTGACTGACAAAAATGCTTAAAATTCATGTAACATTATTCAAAAAATTTAAAATTAGATTTTTATGTAAATTTTAGAAATGATCGACATATTTTGGAAAAATAATTATTATATAGTATCGCCTAGGGATGTTAAACGGTCCTAAACAGTTCTAAAAGTCCCAATAAATTTGCCAATTTTAGAGAAGATTTTTATTTTACTGGCATTATATTTTAGTTTCTAATGATAATTTGTTAATTAAATATAAATTAACAATATATATTAAACTTATGCAGGAACCCAGAATCTTAATTTTTGAAACTTAGGACTCAGTTCTAAAGACTGGATCCCACCTTAGCGATCCTATGTTAATTGTTAATTCCAAAATTTATATTTCTTTTATAAGTTATTTATAAAATTTATTATTACAATTATTTATCAAGGGTTACTTATTATAGATAAGTGATTGGACTTTTCTATAACTTGTAATTTCAATATTTGTTTACAGTCATTTGGGACCTTATTAATTGATTTGACCTAATATATCTACTTTTAATCTTTTTAGTGTAATTTTTATTGGACAAGTATGTTTATTGTGGCGTAAC